AGTTAGTTCCAGGGCAGCCAGGGCTGCAGATAGGGAAGATACCGGTCTCTTCTGGAAAACACAAGAGTTCTCCGGATGGAAAAAGAGTGTGCATCATAAACCAGAGAAAGGCACGGTAGAGCACGCCTGTAATCCCAGCACTTGGTAGGCTGGTGGAGCTCTGAGTTCCAGGTCAACCTGGCCTAAAAAGCAAGTCTAGAAGAGCCAGGGCTACATAGAGAAACCCTGTCTTGAAAAACAACCACCAGAGGAGCTGGCACCATTGCCTCGCCGCGCATCTTCCAGAAGCATGAGAATGTCAATGCTGGTTATGTAAGCTCCTCCTGTGATGGCTGGCCAGCCAGCAGTACAGATAAATGCTCTGTTGTTAGTGTGTGTGTATAAGAAACTACCCAACATTTTCCCAAGTGCCTTAGCCCTTTGTGTTACTAAAGTGCTAATGTCTTGATTTTTCTCAAGAGCTTTTGAATGAAAGCTAATTTAGTAGTTGACCTCACAGGTGATATAAATGGTCTCAAGTAACCAGGCAAGCCAAGTTTACTTGTTTACTTCTTATGTAAACAAGGCTGTGTGCTTGGCCAAATGCCATGCCTATTCCTCTCTATGTCTAAACACTAGGCCTTATCTCAGAGAGAGCTGTTGGCCTGCTCCCAGGGTCCGTGCTGCCTGCCTCTTGGGATCATCTGTGCTCAGTGATCTGGAGAGGTTTTTTAGCCCGGGATTCTGGTTTCCAAAAGAGGGCTTGCCTTAAACAGAGTTCCCTCCTCCACCCTGCCCCTCCTAAAGTCTGTTCTAGCATATACATGGCCGATGTGAAGAAAGGACATCACAAATGTCTTCCTCTCGCTCTGCCAAGCTGCCATGAAGCTGACTTGAAGCAAGGTGACTTACAGTGGAGCTTGGTCTCGTTCTTTCAGATCAGTGAATCCCCACGTCCGGGGAGAAGAAAACTATTGAGTAGCAGGGGCAGAAGGGCCTGGGTGGGGAGCGAGATCATGGACTTTGGAGGTAGCAAGTTTTGAGTTTGTATCATGAGTGGGCTGCCCACGTCCACAGCCTCAAACCTGGAGCTACTAACCTGACCACTATGGACTTGATTTTCACTCTGGAGGAGAATTAGCAGCTCTTCCTCATGGGACTTTGGAGCTGGGAGGAGCACCGGGAGGATTTCTGTACGGTATCCAATGGGAGCATACATCTGCCCTCCAGAATACACCAGACTTGAAGTCGCTTTTGGTGGCTGTACAAGGAGTCATTGGAAAATCACAGCAGATTCTGTGTTTCTCTGAAAAGCTACTTCATGGACCTACTTGATGTTCCTTCCAGCTTCCTAGTTGTTGGGTGAAAACTGTGAAGCCCTGAGGCCGGAGAAGCGGCTCAGGGGTTCAGAGTGTTGGCTGCTCCTGCAGAGGGTTGAGTGCGGTTCCCAGCACCCTCTTTGTGGCTCACAACCATCCATAACGCCAGTTCCAGGCTGTACATGACACAGGGCAGGCAAAACCCTCATCCATGTAAAATAAGAATAAACAGATCTAAAAGAACTAGAAGAGAATTGTGATGCCCTGGCTAGAATTAGAAAGGCAAAGCAAGGTGAGTAGAAAGTAAACTAGACTGCAAAGCCCGGGACTCCCGAACTCTTGACATGATCCCTCAGGAAATGCCCTTATGCAAGCTCACCCACAGCTTTGAAAACCTCTACCCATCCACGTTAGTCACGCCTCTTATTCCTATGACAGAAAACTTGACAAAAGCAACATACAGAAGGAAGGAATTATTTTGTCTCACAGCTTCAGGGCTTTGAAGTAGGGAAGTAATGGGGTTCATGATGGAAGAAATGTACGGCGGAGGCCCCTCATATCTTGTGTGGATCAAACAGTAGAGAATGGAAATGGATGAGGCAGGGTTGGCTCTGACCTTAAGGCGTGCCTTAGTAGCCTATGTCTTCCAGGGAGGCCTGTATCCCAAAGATTCCATAACCTCCCAAACAGTGTCATCAGCTGGGATGAGACAGTTTAGGACATTTCACATTTAGTTAATAATGCTGCACACCTCAAAATAAAAACAAGTGTGCATCCCAGATTAAAAGAACAAGGATGGGGCTGGAGAGATGGCTCAGAGGTTAAGAACACTGTCTGTTCTTCCAAAGGTCCTGAGTTTAATTCCCAGCACCCACATGGCAGCCTACAACTGTCTATATAACTCCAAGATCTGAGACCCTCACACAGACATACATGCAGGCAAAACACCAGTGCACATAAAATAAAAATAAATTATTAAAAAAAACAAAACAACAACAAAAAAGCAAGGACAAGTTGGGGGTGTTGCTCAGTGTGAGGATTTTTTTCTTTTTTTCTTTTCTTTTTTTTCCTCTGTATAGCCTTAGCTGTCCTAGTTTACTTTGTAGACTAGGCTGGCTTTGAACTCACAGATATCTGCCTGCCTCTGCCTCCCAGAGTGCTGGAATTACAGTCATGAGGAGTTTTACCCAGAATGCAAGAGGACGATCCATCCTCAGAACAACACAGCAAATAGAGGGAAGCAAGCTAACAAACTATTCACCAGCAGCCCACTCCACCCAAAGACGCCTGTGGCAGTGTGCGAGGGTGGCCCCATAGGATTTTAAAATGTATGTCTAGCCAAGTGATGAAGAACGGGAGCCACGTGCTTAGTGGTGCTGGGAGGGTGAGCAGGGAGGACTGTGAGTTTGTGGCCAGGCCCGCCTGCATAGGGAGGCTCTGTATTAAAATGAAGAATGAGGCCAAATGACATGGCTTTAACTCCCAGCTTGGTTAGTTTGTGGCCAATAGTATCTCCCTTAGACAGAGAGAATATCCTACTTTGCTGTGCCTCCCCGACCCAGTGTCTTTGAGTTCTTTCAATTACATGTTTGGGTAACCTTGGGAGGCCATGGTAGCAGACATTCTAGAATAGTTTAAGCCAGCCTCCGAGAAGGGGATCCGTGAGGCCCGGGACTGGATATGCCCCTGTCATAGCAACTCTGTCCATAAAGGTGTAGACTGGTGTTTACCCGTAACTAGGTGGTAGTGATAGGTGATCTATAAAGAAAGTAAAGACTGAAGGAAGTCAGTCTCCCAAGGGGAAGGAGTGGGGCAGGGAGTCTGAATTAACCTGCTTTGCTGCAAGGGCAGTGTTCCAAGTCCTGCCTACCTTACAGCGGTGGCCAAGGGGTGTCTCCCTGTAGTCATAGAAACCATGGTAGCTCACTTTGCAACAATGTTCTGAGGAAGAGTTATTTAGCTCTGGCTTCCCAGGCTCCATCCATCACAGGAACCTGACTCCTTTCCATAAGTCTGAGAATACCAGGCCTCTGTGTCCCGGTGAAATGGGATGCCATTCCAGCAAGGTCACTGAGATGGTAGAGCAGTCCCAGGAACTTGGAGATCACTCGGAGGGTGGAGAGCCGAAGGTGGAGCCTGGCATGGAGCCATCAGATGGCAAGGACACCTCAATGAAGGGAGGAACCCCCGAGCTGAAGAGCTGACCCTCTTTCTTGAGGAGACCCTTCACTCATCCCTGGAACTGTCTTTGGTGTGTGATGCCCCACCCTGAGGAGCTACCCTTGGAGAGCAGAGAGAGACCCCTGTTTAGGAAGTGACCCGGCACAAGGCTTGCTCTTTGGCCTTGGGGAGATGATGGTGAGACTTGAAGCAGTCCTATTTCTCCAGAGCCTAGCAGAGAGGACAAAGGATTGCTTTATTCCTCCTGCGCTTTTCCCACAGCTTCTGGAAAGAGAAAAACATAAATTGACTCTTCCTGTCCAGACTACCTACCTCTGGGTTGTGACTATCCAGCCATGGCGTCTGCTTCCCTTCCCCGGAACTCTGCAGGCTCTGTAGCCATAACATCGATGGGATGGGACTATGGGTCTTGGTTTGGTCTTCACCTTTCTGCCTTTTTTCAACAGCTGAATGAACAGCCAGCATCCCCGACAGGAAGCTTTTGCATTTGGCTCTCTTCACACTGTTTGCATGAATAATTTAGTATTTAACTTGCAGCATCATTAATGAATTATGGGAATGATCAGGACCGGGCAGGGATTCCATGAATGGACTGCAGCAAGGTCTTGGGCTCACAGCAAGTAGAGTGCTGAGTGTTGGTGGGAGGGAAGGAGAGATTCAAGTCTCCAGCTATTAAATCCTCAGAAACGTCCTCTTGCTAACAAAAGTCTGTCAATCTGAACCCTCTAACATCTGAACTGTCTGCATGCAGCCTTCAGAAATATTTTGCTGTTTACTAACACGGTGTGTCTGACAGCCTCTTTCTCTTTTCCCCCTGAATGCATTTTGTTTCCAATGCAACCCCAAAGCATTTTCATTTGAAATCAGACATGTTTGCAAATAAACGATGACACAACACATTTTGAAGACAAGACTGGGGCTCTGTGATTACAGGATTGCCGGGAAAGGGTGGGTGCCGGTCTGTGCTGAAGGAGTGAGCCCTCCCTTTGTGCTAGGCTTCACACTCATCTAGAAATCTAACTGGCACCACCACCCATATTCTACAGGTGAGAAAATGTCGGACGTGTGTGTGTGTGTGTGTGTTCTGGAATGTGCTCTTTCTGAGTATTGGAATTACAGGCATATGCTACCATCTCCAGAGACCAGATCTGAACCCCAGCTGTGTGACCTCAACTTACACAGATTTCTAGTTAAAGACCGCATACGTATGGTTTTTCTCATGAATGAAACATCCCCCTCCAAAAAACCCCTGAAATCTAACATCTAACTTTTTTCTTTTTTCGTGTGTGTGTTTTGTGTATGCATTTTTGCTGTTGCCACATGAGTTTGGGCGTGCACGAAAAGTGTCTCTATGTGCATGTGGTAGCCCAAGTTTGATGTCAGGATCCGTCCTTGATGAATCTTCCACCACCTTAGTCTCAGAGGCAGGGTCTCTCAGCCAAACCCAGAGCTTCCTAATACAGGTGGCCTCATTACCAGCTTGCTCTGGGATGCCCCTGTTTTCACCTTCCAAGGCTGGAATTACTTGCAGGCTTCCCGGTCCACCTGTGTCCTAGGACTCTGGACTCCCATCACACGTTTGTGGGGTAGGCACTCGATCCATAGGCACTTGACTGATGAGCCAGCCTGTCTAAATTCTTCAGGCCTGGAAAGAAACAGACTGCTAACCTGTTCAGCTCAAGGGCCTGTTATTTTCACTCTGGTTTCTGAACAGGGGATGAGTTTGGAAGGAGAAAGGAAAGGAGAGCTTGTAGAAGGGCAGGGAGGGGGAGATCAGGAGGAAGGGAAAACGAGGACAAAAAAACCCCCCAAAAAACAAAAACTAAAAAAAAAAAAAAACCCAAACACACACACACAAAACCCCAAACACTACTTTTGGCTACAAAAATCCCCCAAAAATGTTTTTGCTTTGCTGTTGTTGTTTTCTTAAGACAGGGTCTGGCTGTGTAGCCCAAGCTGCCCTCAAAATGCAAGGTCCTCCTACCTTAGTCTTCCAAGCGCTGGGACTACAGACATAAACCACTACGCACAACTTTAATAGGATGTTTATGGGGTGAAGGAGAGCCAGAGGCAAAGCAGTTTGGCCTAATTAACCGGGGAGGCTCTTTTTGATTCGACAGAGCCTGGCAGCTTCCGAGAAGTTAGCGAGAATGCTGGGCTGAGCCCCGCGGGGTTCCCGAGCTAGCTGTGGGCCAGGACACAGGCCTGGGCTTGCGACGGGACACCAGGAAGGTTAGGGCCTTTCTACAGCTTACGGGAGACAGGCCAAACCTTGGGAACCGCTTTCAGCTCTATTAAATGCCTGTGTGCCTTTCTCCTCCCTCCTAGTGGAAATTCACCCGCGCAAACAGGACTGGGCCTGGTAAGAACCGCTCTCAAAGCTCTCTCTGGGGACCCAGAGCAAAGAGTTCCCAGCTGGTGGAGAGGCAGGCCGGGCTTCTTTCTGTAGCTCCCAAAGCGACAGAGGAATGTCCCCCCCCTTCCACTCCCCCAAGTTCTTAAGCGGTTTTGCTTCCTACTGGGATGGAGCAAAATGCTCCTTCGGTTGAATTCAAAGTCCCAGGGCTTTAAGAACAAGATTCCTCAGCCACCCCCAGCTGGGGAGGGCATGCTGTAATTTGATGGGAAATCCATCTGTGCAAGGAAAGCACCCGGTTTCTTTTAAAGGACGTTCTAGTTGTTCTTCTGGGGACTAGCCTCAGTCTCTCCCCGTCCTCCACTCTTCCCTGTTACCCCCCACACCCGAGGTGTGGTTACGGCCTCTGAAAGGCAGATTGGCTCTGACCTGAAGACTACCGCAGGGGAAGGGGGTTGCGTATGTCAGTTAACTTACCTGTCCTGTCCACCTGCCCATCCTTCCACTCCTCCATTTCTTATTTAAATTCTAGCACCAGGTTCGCGTCTCAGAACCCACATGGTGCCTCACAACCATTCGTAGCTTTAGTTCCACGGGAACTGATGCCCTCTTCTGGCGTCCAGGGGTATTGCCTGTACACACGTAGTACAAAGGCATGCAGGAAAAAAAAAAGCTAAAATAACATTCAGTTCATTAAAAATATTTTATGTGAATGAATATTTTTCTACATGCACGTATGCATACATGTATGTGATAGGCGCCCGAAGAGGCTGGAAGGCAGCATCAGACCCCCTGGAATTGGAGTTGCAGATGGCTGTGAGTTGCCATGTGGGAACCAGGAATCAAATCCTGTCCTGTGGAAGAGCAGCCAGTGTTCTTAGTCACCGAACCATCTCTCCAGCTTGATTGCATTAATTTTGTTGGGAAGATGCTCTTACTGTGGGTGGCGCCATTCCCTGGCTGGGATCCTAGACAATAAGTGAACAAAGGGGGCTACACAGAGAAACCATGTCTTGAAAAACAACAACAACAAAAACAAACAAACAAAAACCCCAATCAACCAAAGAAACCAACCCCCCCTCCCCAAACCAAAAGCAAAAACAAAAAACGAATCTAAAACCAAAAACAGACAACAACAACAACCAGAAAAATTTGGTGACTCTGCTGTCATTGTAGCATGCAGTTTTTATTATTTTTTAATGTTCTAATTATCCATTTACAGTATATTCAGGATTTGCCAACAGGAGGATGTCAAAAGCAACTGTAATGTGCTTAATTTCCACAGCCTCAGAAATATAGTCTCGCGCCTATATGAATTATAAAGGACTTTAAGTCATTTCTGTATTGTATGCGCACATTAAACAGGAATCATTTCAATTCTGGCTTCCAACATGTCAAAATTCCTTCCTGTGTTATGCTTACACACACACACACACACACACACACACACACACACACACACACACA